ACAAATCCCACCCATTCTTGAAGGCTCAGCTCACAGTTTACCTTTTCCTTGAAGACCATTCCAGTTCACATTCATTCAGTCAACGTTTAAGTGCCAGCAAGTGCCAAGCTCCCCGCGAGGGATTGGAGCTGTTCAGGTGATTAAGACCATGCTCACGGCAGACTCAAAACTAGTTACAACAGTCTTACATCTTGTCAATTCTCGTTGCCCCCTGGTTCCTTTTTCATGTGGTTTTCTTCTTCCTGGCTAGACTGTAAATTCCTTGAAGACAGAGATGCCACGTGTGCATCACGGCTGTGTCCTCGTGCTGAGCCCAATGTCGGATGACAGGAACAGCCTCAACAAGCACTCAATCAGCTGGCTGAGGAACAGTAGGAGAGGGGAAGAAGAGGAAATGTTCATGGCTCAGAGAACTAAATCTCACTTATTTTTACGATGAAACCCATGCAAATGTGGGAGTCAGGATGGCAGCTACCTGCGTCCTCACTCTTCCTCCAGGACCTGAGGAATCAGCCTTTGAGGAAGCACCTTTAAGATGGTAAGACTCTGGGGCCGGCCCCGTGGCTTAGTGGTTAAGTGCGTGCGCTCCGCTGCTGGTGGCCCGGGTACGGATCCCAGGCGTGCACCGACGCACCGCTTCTCCGGCCATGCTGAGGCCGCGTCCCACATACAACAACTAGAAGGATGTGCAGCTATGACATACAACTATCTACTGGGGCTTTGGGGGAAAAATAAATAAATAAATAAATAAATAAATAAATAAAAAAGATGGTAAGACTCTGGGGCTGGCCCGGTGGCGCAAGCGGTTAAGTGCACACGCTCTGCGGCAGCGGTCCCAGGGTTCACCGGCTCGGATCCCGGGCGTGCACCGATGCTCACTCATCAAGCCATGCTGTGGCGGTGTCCCATATAAAGTGGAGGAAGATGGGCAATGGATGTTAGCCCAGGGCCAGTCTTCCTCAGCAAAAAGAGAGGAGGATTGGCAGATGTTAGCTCAGGGCCGATCTTCTTCACCAAAAAAAAAAAGATGGTAAGACTCTGCCTCACTCACATTCCAGAGTGGGACTTCAGACTGTCCCACAAGCCCTTCCATAATGAAAACGGTCAATGTCACCGCCCTCCCGTTCCTGAATCCTGGCTCCCGGTGGTTAAGCGACACCAGGAGAGCAGGCAGGGTAGTGAGGTTTGCACAAAGAAAAATCTATTCAATTTAAAGGACTGAAATTTATTGTGTGATCACATCATTCCTATGTAGTAAAATGCCCTTTCTTTTAAATTGTCTATTTCTCATTATGATGGTAGTCAGGAGTTATTGTTATTTTTTTAGTGTTTTTGCTTGCAAAATAAAAAATAGGCAGCCCAATGTTGGTCCACCAAACTTTGGTCTGTGAAATCCAGAAGTGTGGAAACCGCTGGTGAGAGCTACCTTCTGCCCACCTAATAGGGTTACAAACAGTTGCTTGGGGCTGACAGCTCCTGCCCAGCTGTGCTCCTTCCCAGGTCAGCTCAGCTCACTCTGCTCTGCCTGCATGACTTAAAATCCTCCCTGCCAAGACTCATCCATTTGCAAAAACATTCAACGAGCCCCTGCTGTGAGCTGGCCCCGGCTCTTGGCCTGTGGATTCAAACAGGGTGTGTAGCCCCTCCTTGTCTCCGAGTCTCTCTCACTTGCTAACTGCCTTGATCTTGACGCACCTTCATCAGCATCCAAGAGACCTCTCATCTCCTGACATTTTTACAAGCCTCCCGAAGCGTCATTTCCCCTCCGCCTTCACTTATCTTTGTAGCCAGCTTGGCCCGCAATGGTCTTCAAATCTTTTCCATTATACTACTCCATCAGTAACAAAATTTTGAACACAAACCTCCAGTTTGTGTGTATTTATTTTTATAAGTTATGTACATGTGCATGTGTGTGATAAAACAAACACCCAAACAGGAATTGCAAAGGGAGGGAGGAAGAAATACAAACAAATTTAGGTTCTAATGTGTTTTTCTCTGCCTCCCATGCAGCCCTCACCCCAGTGGTCTCCCTCCTGCCCTCACTCTCCTCAGACTGAGTCCTAGAACCTGATGGGTACTTCCTTTCTGGTCCCAACAAATGGCGGAGCTGGCAGCTCAGTCTTCTTTGATGTCTCCTCTGTGTCCCTTATTTGATGGTGTTCCATCTCCCACTTTTTATCCTCTCAGTCTGTCTACGAGGGCAATCCTATGCAAATTTGAGGCTTTAACCTGTTTGGGGATCTTTTGGAAAGGACTTGATCTTCTCCAGGGCAGCTGGAATGACTCTTTAAATTGCAAATCAGATTAGGACACTCTGGCTCAAATCAGCCAGTGGCTTCCCATCACATTCAGAAGAAAATCCCAAATCCTCCTGGTGGCCTACTAAGTCTCTGCACGTACCTCCTTCCCCCCACCTTCCTGCTCCAGCTCTGCTGACCTCTCTTCACTCCCAGAACTGCGGCCAGCCCTCTCTTGCTTCAAGACATTTGCACCTGCTGTTCCCTCAGCCAGGCCCATGCTTGTGCAGCTTCTCTCATGGCTGGCCCTCTCCCTCATTTGGAGAGACCTTCTTCTTCCTCCCTTCAAAATAGAAGTTCCCCATCTGTCACCCCTTATGCTGCGCTGCTCTATTTTTCTTTATTTTCTTTATTTATTTTTTTGTGAGGAAGAGTGGCCATGAGCTAATATCCAATGCCAATCCTCCTCTTTTTGCTGAGGAAGATTGGCCCTCGGCTAACATCCATGCCCATCTTCCTCTGCTTTATGTGGGACGCCGCCACAGCATGGCTTGACAAGCGGTGCATGGTGCGCGCCCAGGATCCGAACCCGCGAACCCCGGGCCGCCACAGCGGAGCACGCGCACTTAACCGCTACACCACCGGGCCGGCCCCTCTGTCTTTCTTTATCACACTTCTCTCTCTACAACACAGTTTTCTTCATTGCTGTAGACCCAGTGCCTGGGACACAGTAAGTGCTCAACAAATAAGTGTTGTTTCTCCCTAATCTATATTCCTGCTCCCCTGAGCTCCAGCTCCACATGGCCAACTTCCTTCTAGACATCTTTTTCATGTTCCATGAACTCCTCTGTCTCAACATGTCCAAAATTTTACTATCTTCTCCCAAAACCCGCCACCCAGCTCCTCAAACCATTCACCATCGGCCCACGTTAGAAACCTGGCAGGGATGCCAGATGCCTCACCCGTGATGGTTGAGTCGTCCCTAAATCCCTCTGAATCTCTCTGAATTCTCCCTCACATCTTGGCCCAACCGCTGCTGGCTTTGCAGGGCCCTCATTGTCTCTTACCAACTGGTCTCCCTACCCAAGTCCCACCCCGTCCTCATTACTGCCTCGGCACTCTCTGAAACTCGGTGATCACATAATGCCAGGATTACCTTGAGGACAAAGTTCAGACTCAGCTTGGCTCACAAAGACCCACAGGATCTAGTTCAGCCTTTCCGGCTTCACTTTCAGACCAAACTACCTGAAGTTCTCCTAAACACCTCCACATCTCTCTGTTCTATTCTCTTACCTGGAATGTCCCTCCTTCACTTTCCTACTGCATCTGCTCCATCTGGAGAAATCCTTTTTGTCTTTCCTAATTCCACATCTTCCTCTGTGCTTCCATAGCACCAGGCCCATACCTCTCTCCTCTTGTTGTATTTTACTAACCCATGTAAATACACACATCTATAAATATTTCTTTATGTAGCAATCTGTGTCTATATTAAGCTGACCATGAGCTCATACCAATATCTCCAACTCTAATCTGTTACCACATGGATCATTCTAGACTCCCTCTCTTGGCTAATCTGTAATTTCCTACTGCAACAATGAGATAGTTCCCACCATCTGCCATCCATTCACTTAACTGTTCAATCCCAGTATATGTGTATAGTGGTCTCTCACTGTATCTTACCTGTGGGTTTATTTGTCCTCAAGATCAATGCTCATTCCCAAGCACTTAAAACTAAGTACTTAATACATGCCAGGCATTGATCTACACACTATAACACATTATATGATTCTCATAACCAACCATGTGAGACATTTATTATTAACTCCATTTAACAGAAGAGGAAACTGAGGTACAGAAAAGCCAAGTAAGTTTCCCAAGTTGCACAATTACTAAGTGGCAGAATCAAGGTTGACCCCAGGAAGTAGATCTCCAGATTCATGAAATCCAAGCTTCCCCTGTGTTAGAGGTGCTGTGGGTAATGTGAGGTGAATTAATAATGCCACAGTCCCCTGACTTCTGACATTCCGGGCATATTGCTCCTCAGCATTGAAAGCTTTCATTTTTGGCTGTTTTCCGTGCCACCTTCCACACTGCAGACCCCTGCTGCAGAAGGTCAAGGATGGTTCAATCACAGCATTGTACTATTTACTTCATCAGGGCCCTCATTACTCTTGTAAGTTATTTAACTCATCACCTGGAGAATCCCATTCCACTCCCACAAAAGCTGCTCCCAATCCCACCTCGGTCCTGTCTGGCCCCTGGCCTCTGCCTCCCTAACTCCCAGAAGATTTCATATCTTGCAGAGGCCTTTCAGCAGGTGGTCCCTCCACTTTCCTTTCCCACACTTCAGCTTTCTCTACCTTTTTATACACACACACACACACACACACATCTCTAAGAAAAGCCTCTCGCTCTGCTGTATGTGTGGGGGGCACTCCCTCCTTCTCCCAACGCCCCTCCCTGTCTCACCTTCAGGACCCCTCAGTGTTCACTATGCACCTGAAGACATGCAGAGGCCTCCCCAATCTTAAATTTTAAAAATCACAACTTTGCAACCACCTCATCACTCACTTCTCCCCCTCTTTCAGCAAATCTTGCCTCCTCCATGCCAGGTCCTGTTCTAGGCAGTGAGGATTCCAGGACAAACAAAACTAGCCAAACCCGTGCCTTCAAGGGGCTGACACCCCAGCACAGTTAAACTGCTTGAAGGAGCAGGGAATGCCCTCGCCTTTTACCTGCTCACAGAAAAGAAGCACGTCTTGGTGAAAAGTGATCATTATTTGTTTTATTGAGTATACAGATGCAATTCCATTGTCCCCTAACCATATAATTCAGGATTGATCATCTCTGACTAAGTTAAAGTCTCCATAGGGACCTGTTCCCCAGCTTCTCAGACATCATTACTTATGACATCACACTTTCCAAGACTGGTGTTTCTGGAGATGGATCTGATAAGAGGATGAATTCCACTCTGAACACACGCCCGAGGCCCCCAGAAGACCCATGGGATTGAAGAAGAGTTAGTTTCTCTGGCCAGATTTGATTCCTTCCATCTCACCACCCTAGTAATGATTTTTACTGTAAGAGCTGGTGTTACCAGGAGCCACACAACGGCTAACCCAGCATGGTTCAGGGACAGCTGCTCGCTGTGATTCGGGGTTGGTGATGGGTCAATCTGGAGAGAGACAGCTTGGCTTTTAGAACAGCACACAAGCCTTTCAGACAGTCCCAGTGGGGCCTGCATTCCATGCTGGACTTGTCCTAGTTCTGGATATTCATAGACAACTATTAATCAGAAAAAAATGCCCAAGAGGGAAGCTACAGTCGGATCCGCTTAACAGGCGCCTCCTCATTCCTCCCCACAACAGAGAGCGGAAGGTCCTTCAGGTCCTCCTTTTCTGGGTGCACCTCTGACACCTTATTCATCTTGGTGAAAATCTGATTGATCTCCACGAACGTCTTGCCCTTGGTCTCAGGGACAACCAGGAAGATGTAGATGGTGGTGAGGAGACATATCATGGCAAAAATGATGAAGCTGTAAGGTCCGAGGCCCACCTGCGGGAAGGGGAGCCAGGTTCACTTTCTTGCAAAGGTCCTCGCTTTACTAAATGCGTGTGGATTTTGTGAATCCGGAGCCCGTGGGATGCACTTACTTGAATGAACGGGAAGAGCAAGCCCACAGCGAAGTTGGAGAGCCAGTGGACACTGCCCCCCACCATGAAGGCGGACGGCCGGGAGGACTGCAGGAAGATCTCGGTGATAAGCAGCGCCGGGATGGGACCTTGGGGAGGAAGAAGAAGAGCTGGCTTCCCTGCGGGCAGAGCCAGCCCACAAAGGGTCCTGGCACCCTCACTGTGTGCAGGGTGCCCTTGGCATCTGGCCCAGGCGGGAGGGGTGTCTCCAGGACTCTTGGTCTTGTGGAGAAGCAGTGTGAGAAGGCACATAGCAAGAGTTCAGCACAACGGGTGACGTCCTATGACGTCCCTAAAAAGAGCCCGTGACTGCCTGTAAGGCTTTCTATGCCAATCACACAGGGTACCCACACAGGCGGCTTTCTGTTTTCGCTCTAATTATACTCCACCCAAACCCAGCTGCAAGAGAAAGATGAGGAGAGAAGCCATGTTGGGGCTGCATCCGGCCCTCCCTGGAGCCTCTCTAAGGAGCTCAAGCCAGATGTTCTAGGGCTGATGGAGGAGAGGGGTCAGTGAAGCCATAGAACCAGCTCTGGGTACATACTGGGCCCAAGGGCATGTCCTATGACGTAGCAGATGACACAGGCGATGCTGATGTAAGGCATCCAGGATACTGTGTCCTGTGGGGGGAAAACAGAGTTGGATCAACCCTGGCAAAGCAGAGACAAAGCTGAGATGGGGACGTCAGGAACCGTGGTGCCCAGGGGGCCAGCTGCTCCTCTCGGGCTGGGGAAAGGTGGCACCTGGCTCCTCCTTCAACAGGCAGCACCACCTGGATGCCACTGGAAAATCAGCTGGAAGTGGGCAAGGGGCTACTGGGTGTGGGGAGTACGGCCGCACACGGTCCGCAGACATCTGACTCATTGTAACTGCTAAAACAACGTCATTTTGGTCTTTTTTCCTTATAACGTGTGTGCGGGCAGGATGAGAAGGAGACTGCTCTCGCCTCTGGGCGCCTCCCCCCGGGGCCCCACCGTCCTCACCTGCAGAGCCAGAGCCAGCGTCAGCACACAGCAGGAGGTGAAGCAGATGGTGAAGCCCAGTAGGAGCAGGAATCGCCTCCCCAAGTACTCCACCACGAACACCTGGAGGGAACGGGCGAAGGAAAAGCAGGGAGCTCAGGAGCCCCACGCCTGCCAGTGGGAGGCTGGGTGGGCCCTGGCAGTCCAGTCGCACCCCTGCCCAGAGCTGCCCTCACAGGAAGCCCCTCGCCCGTCCTGCACATCCCCTCCTGAAGAGGCAGCTGTGAGGAGCGCCTGCTGGGCTGTGTGCCCATCTGCCCATGTGTGTGTGTCCCCCCAAGAGTGTGCCCTTGAACGGCCAGCGGGCCACCACCCTGCCCAGTCCAGGCGCCCTATTAGTTCCTGACACACTGTGGCCCTGGCTCCAAGTGTAAGATGTTGAAGAAGAGTCACCTCACACAGTGGAAGCTTCTGGAGTAGGGGGCGGGAGTCTCCATATTTGAGGAGCCCTCAGCTACCCCCCACAAGAGACAGGCTATCTGAGAAGAGCCCAGAGGCTGGAGATGAGGGGACCAAGAAGCATGTTGCCACCTTAGATCCAGGCTCCTCCCTTGACCAAGACCCCCACTCTCAAGATTCCCTCCATCCTTGGCGGTGGACAGACACTCAGCTCCCCAGGACACTCACAGCGCAGATGGTCATCAACACGTTGACAGCCCCCGTGCCCACCGTCACATACTGGACATCCTGGTCTTTCACCCCAGCGCTCAGGTAGATCTGGTCTGCGTAGTAGTAGATCTGGAAGGCAACCCCAGAGGCTGGTGGGGCTGGCCAGGCCGCAGCCTGGCCCCGGGGCAACCCTGCACCTGGACATTGCCCGCTGCTCCCGGCCCCGGGCTGCCCCGTACCGCATTCACTCCCGACAGCTGCTGGCCACCCATGAGGACGATGATGGAGATGACCTGCCACCGCAGGGACTTCATCCCGAACAGCTTCAGCACGGAGATGAAGCCCGCGGCCTTCTCGGCCTCGTCCTCCAGCCGGATCTCCTCTATATCGGCGCCCACGTCGTCCCAGCCACGTAGCCTCTTCAGCGCTAAGGGAGGGGAGCAGAGGGTGCTCTGGGGGTGGACCACGGCTTCCCCAGAGCGAGATGCTGCGACTTCCATCACTTTTCCTCCTCTCACAGGGAAGCCTTACCGTTTCTGGCAGCTGCTTCATCTTTCTTCTGAATCAGCAGGTACCTGGGGCTCTCGGGGAAGAGGGGCAGCAGAAGGAGCTGCAGGGCTGCCGGGATGCCGGTCACCCCAAGGAGGATCGGCCAGCCTACAGGGAAGCCAGTGTCTTACGTGAGAGCTGGCTCCAAGGCCACCTCTCGGAGAGGCCCACCCAGATCAGCATCCTGCCTCCCGCCCCCACAGCGCCCAGCCAGCCACTCTGCCCCATTACCCAGGTTGGTTTTCTTTGGAGCTGAAACACAGGCTCTGAGGGGCAGGGCCTTGTCTTTCTTACCCCTGTATCCCATCACTTAGGATGGTGCCTAACGAATAGCAGATGCTCTAAATACTTGCAGAATGGATAATGATGAATAACCACTACCCACCTACCAGAAGGAGAAAACGAAAAATTCTGAAAATAACAAGGGCTGGCAAGAATGTGGGCAAATAGGAAGTCTCCACACTGTCATTGTGTGGACATGTGGCATCTTTAGAGGACAGTCTGGCAGGAGCTAGTGATGCTGGACACTCTCACACACTCTGACCCAGCAGTCCTGCTCAGGCATATGCCCAGGCCACCAGGACACCTGAACTAGAATGGTCAGAGCAGCAGTGATTATAGAAACGAAGACCAGAAACAAGGCAAATGTCTATAATGGTAAATGGATACATAAATCGTGGTGTATTCATAAAATGGAATTTTATACTGTAATGAAAATGAAAGAAGCCAGGACAGGAGCCAATCCCACAAACATGATGTTTGGTGCAATAATCTACACAATGTGGTTCCCTTGTATAAAGTCCAGAAACATTAACTCTACCTTTGCCAAAGGTAGTGAAACTCTAGGGAAAAGCAAGAATGCAGTGATCACAAATAAAGTGTCAACACAGTGGCTCCCTTTTGGGGCTGGAAGGCCATGACTGAGGGGACACAGCAGACTTCTGGTGTGCTGGTGTAATTCTAGTTCTGGACCGGGGTAGTGGTCACACAGGTGTTTGATTTCTGTTTGACTAAATGTACACTTATGTTTTATGTACTCTTCCTTACATATGTTATATCTCACAATAAAAATGGGTAAATAAGTGAATGAGTGGGTCAGGCTCCTTCTAGGAGTGATTTGTGCCTGACTCGCCCCTTTTCTCCTAGGGCTTGCGGTAGGCCATAACCGTGGACATCTGCATGCCAGGCCCAGTCTAACGGCTCTTCACTCCCCCTTCACAGCAAGGTCATGAGGCAGGTACCAGGATCAACCCACTTGACACCTGCAAACGCTGAGGCTGGAGGGTGTAGGCCTCTTGCCCAAGATCAGGATTTAGGAGCAAAGCTGGCATTCAACCCCAGGCACGTTGAACTCTGGGTATTCTTAACCACATATTATACAGACTCTTAGTCAAACTTAAGGCTATGACCACCTGACAACCTGTGATTTACCACCGGTCTCTTCTAAAATAGAGTCCAACTACTGAAAGGGAAGAAAAATCAACGAACACCCTCATTTAGACATCTCTTTTTCAAGTCATATTTCAACCTCTGAAACTTCTCCCATCCCATAACCTCATCGCTCTTCACCAAGAAAACAAGCGCCGTACAATCTTAAGTTTAACTTCTGTCCTGCCCACCATTGTACTGGCTGGATCATCATCTTCCCGACCTCCTCCTGCCCCCTGGCTCCGAATCCAGGGCCTAGCTAATCCCAGGTCCTGCTTCAATCACCCAGCACAGCTGATAGCAACTGTGGACGTACCTGCCATCCAGGCCATTGCTGTCTGGCCTCTGGCCCCCACTCCCACCCCTCCACTGAAACCCTTCTCAGGAGGTCTCAGAGACCTCTAACTGCCAGATCCAGACACCGTGTTCCAATCTTGACCCCCTGACTTCTTTGCAGTCTTTGCACTGTGACTGCCCGCCTCCTGTGCCACTCTTTTCCGGAGGCTTCTCTGACACTATTCTCTTCTAGTTTTCCTTCCTTCCTTGTTCTTTGAGCACCTATTATGTGGCAGAAATTATGCTGGAGATTCAAAAATGAATAAGGCCAAGCCCTGCCCTCCACACACTCTGTCTAGAAGAAGAGTACTGATGGTCGAATCGTCACAGTAAAGGATGGAGGGACGAATGCAGCCCACCACGACATGTGCAGTTCCCTGAATGGGGAAAGAACTGTACACTTCTGCCCCCTCTGCCCACCTCTGAAACGCCGGTCCTACTCCCCTCAGTCCAGGCCCTCTCTGAGGCCCCCTCCCCGGGCAGAACCATTGCTCCCTCCCACACACCATAGAGCACTTCACAGATGCCAGGGCTCTGCGCACTGCTCTGGGTACTGCTGGGACCGTGCCATCACTGGGAGACAGGAACCTCATTCCCTAACTCCTGGTCCCAGCTCCTTACAAGGGTGATTGAAAGGCGGGAGAGAATGGTAGTGAAACACAGACCTGGGCCTGAGCTGCCTGGGTTTGTGTCCTAATGAGACCTTGGACATGTCATCCTACCTCTCCGTGCCTCAGGTTCTGCATCTGTAAAATGGGTATAATAACAGTACATGCTTCGTAGTGTTGTTTGGGGGATTAAATGGATTAATATGAAAGCCTTAGTGCCTGGCCTATGATGAACACTTCATACGTCTCGACTGATGTTATTATTAATGGTGATTTCCCTTTCAGAGGTTTGAGACCCAAGACAAAGAGAGGTAAGGTCTCACAAACACGACGACAGTTGTGAGCTACACTGCACCCACTGTGTGCCAGGCCCCGGGACTCTTGGGGAGGGGGGTGCTGCTCCAGAGTCAGGGTCTGGGGTGAGACTCACCACCTCACCCCCAAGGGCCAGGTCTCTCTTTCCTGGCTGTGAAATGGGATCACCCCAGAGCCCCCTGGGCAGTAGCGTCCCTGGGAGGCTTAAGTGAAGCAGTGACACTGGTGGCCATTATTACCATGCCCCAGGCCCTTGTACAGACAGCCATCAGGCAGGCCTAGAGAAAGTCAGCCTATGGCACTTCCTGCTCATGCAAGGCCACCTCATCCGTGTCCTCAGAGGGACTAGGAAGCATTAGCCAATCCATCCCCACCAACTTGTTCAGGTCTGCTCTGTGCTGATACCACACCAGCACTGTGGGGTCGGGGCAGCATGGGGGCACACAAGGACAGCCGGTCGATTAGACAGAAAAGACCAGCCCACAGATATGTGCAGTGGGAGCAGGGGGTGGGGTCCGGAGGTGGCCTGAGCTTACCTTCCTCGTTTGCAAGGATACCCCGAAGGCCAAAGATCTGGGCCACGAGGATGCCGATGGTGATGAAGAGCTGGGGCACCACCCCGAGAGCCCCCCTCAGGTTCTTAGGGGCCAGCTCGCCTAAGTACATAGGCACAACATTGGAAGACAGACCTGGGAGGGGGGTTGGAATAAAAACACGACCAGGAAACATTAGTCCGGCAGGGACAAGCTGTGTCTTCAAATACATTTATTCTTACTCAGCAATCACATTAGTTGGGCTGAAACTTTCTCAACGCTGCAGGAGTAAGCAGACATCTCTTTTAATTCTTAGTCCTTTGAACTTTTAAGGAAAGAGAAAATAGTCTGACCAAAGAAGTTCAAGAAGAGGCACCCTTGCTTCTGGCCTGGTGTCACGTGGGGACAGAGGCCAGCCTGACCTCAGATCTCCCCTCCTGACTAGCTTGGCCTCAGAGAGGAAAAGCCCAGCGATGGTCTAGACACTCTCTCCTCCCTTGCTCCTTGGGGGAATCTGTTAATAAAAGACCAAGGACCCCTGCCCACCAGCTTTACCTTCTGAGACAGTATATTACATGATAATCCAATGCATAGATACCTTCATAGACATTGAAGAACCAGCTATATTTATCATAAGCTTTAAAAACTTAAATACATGTTGTGGAACAACTGCCATCTGGGATGTATGTAATGCCTGACTACTTCTGAATCCCCAATATTTAAACTTGTAAGTTTTCCTCTCTGACTGGAGTCTGACCCCCTTAACGACAGGTGGAACTTAATTCTCATGTTCTGAAGCATTTTCACATATATTATCCTATTTACTTCTCCTAAAAGCCCAGTGAGAGGCTGGGAATCTTGGAGGAAGTTCAGGTGGGTTGTCATGAGGTGGGCTGTTAGTCCAAGTATCCTACACCCAGTCATGAGTAAGCTGAGGCTCAGAAAGACATGGGGGTCTGCGGGAGGCTCCGGCCATGGGGAGACCGAGAGGAAACAGAGCTGGGGTGAGTGGAGGTGAGGGCTGCTGGTAATGCGAGGGTACTAGGATAACGTTGAGATGGGAGGGAACTGCAGGCCAAGTTTTCAAGCTTTGCAATTCTGCCCAAAGATGTCTCTGCTTAGTATTTTTAAAGAGCCATCACAGTTCATTAATATCGGTTCTTTCTGCTTTTCAGAGCACATGAGGCAGTCTTTAGAACAGCTCTTAGAGGTCTTGGTGGGGAGGCACCCCACAGGCCCAGTGCCTCCCGTGGTCACCACTCAGGCTGCTTCTTAATGGTGAGTGCTTCTGAACCTGACTGAGAACAATACTGTGGAGTCAGGCATCAGGAGGTTTGTGAAGAGATGAGATTCCCTTCACGTGGGTGGAAGCAATCTCTATTTTGTCTTAAAAAGGACTCTGCGGGGCAACCGCAGCCAGCCTGTTCCGACACCAGAGTTGGAGAAAGCGGCTCCTAATGTCTCAAGTCCTTCAGTGAAAGCCTTCAGCCTTCTTGCCAAAGCTGACTAGTAGCAAACCAGTAAACCGTGAGCATCCTGAAGTCCAGCTCATATCTGTCTCCACACCTCCTGCTCAGAGGAGCTGTTTACTTCATCGTCAGCAGGCTTGAGTCTACACTTTCCTGACTTTTTCAAGAATTACTTGAAATTAAATGAATTATGCTTCTGCTGGTGTTCTCTAAGCATGATCTGAGGACAAAGAGAGCTCCTGACACCTTTCTGGGGGGTCGGTGAGATCAGAACTACTTTCATAAAAATCCTGAGATGCTATTTTTCCCTTTCATTCTCGCTCTCTCATGAGCATACAGTGGACTTTTCCAGAGGCTACATGCCACGAGATATCAGAACCGCAGAATACTGAAGCAGGTCTGAGGATGGGGCTGTCTTCTGTTAGGTCGGGCATGAAAGAGGTTTGCAAAAATGTGAAGCAATGCCACTCTCCTCGCTAAATTTTTTGTTTTAGAATATATAGCTATTTTCGTAAAGACATGGGCTTATTATTGCTATTTTTAAATGAGTTAATACATTTCTTGGGGCCAGCCCCGTGGCTTAGCAGTTAAGTGCATGTGCTCCGCTGCTGGCGGCCTGGGTTCGGATCCCGGGCGCGCACCGATGCACCGCTTCTCTGGCCATGCTGAGGCCGCGTCCCACATACAGCAACTAGAAGGATATGCAGCTATGCCATACAACTATCTACAGGGGATTTGGGGGAATAAATAAATAAAATTATAATACATTTCTTGGTTGCAATTACTAATATGGTAAATATTAACCAATAAAACCCATATGAGCAAAAGCTCTTTGGAGCCCTCAATAATTTTAAGAATGCAAAAGGGTCCTGAGGCCAAAAAGTTTGAGAACCGCTGACTTAAAGGAATGCTTACTCAGGAGTAAAGGTTGGGATTTTTAACTGTGCTTTGTTATCTATTGGATCCTAATATTCTTCTGTTGGAACCAACTGTGAATTGTTGGATGGTCAACAGAAAAGTGACTGCATCTGCTCACTGCTCACAACTTTCAGGAATCATCTATTTTTCATAAAGCTGGGCCCCACTGCAGGGAAAACCCGAAGGCAGGGGCAGGGCCAGGTGCCCTCGGGGCTCCGGCCAAGCTGGCAGAGACTTGGCCAGGTGCTCTCAGGGAACCCAGTATGAAGTGAAGTTTGCCAGGGGCCCACCATTCTCTCCTTGAAATGACCTCTTCTCTCTTCAGGAATCTTGTTGTCCTCTTTTCTCCCCAGCCCTGCAATTCCTCACCATTTCCCCCAACACCAGGCTCCTTGACACCTCCCCTATTGTCAACGAACTTGAGCTAAGGGGTTTGCTGATATCAGGCCAAATCATCCCTTTGTCTCTATCCTCCTGTTTGGAAGGAGAAAATGAGAGTTACTCGGCAATGTCAGAGCCAGGTAGAGGGGGGCAAGTGAGGTGCCCAGGGTGCAGCATTTCCAAGGGCGCTCCCCTTGGAGCCCACCCTGAAGGTGCACGGCCCCGAGAGCGGGCGCCTCCTTACTTTACACCCAGGCGCCTCACTCACCTCCACTGACCCTGGGAAACACTGCCTACAAAAGAGAGCCAACTTGGGGGAAGGCCACGGGCACAGCTTTACCCACGTCTCCTCAGTCTGAAGCAACTATGGGGGAGTTTTCTATAACCACTGGAGAATGGCCCGGGCAGCACAGCTTCGGAGGGTTTGCAAACCAGCTCCGTGGTGTATGAGGGGAGAGACCTCAGACAGGTCAGCACCCTCCTCAGCAGGTGGGCGTTGAAGGAATAAGTGAACTAGAACCTGTGAAAAGCCCTTTGTACACTTTAAATTCTCCTATAAATGTTGCGAGTTGCTATCCTTAACTCTTTTCTAGTAGAGGGATTCCTACATTAGATTGTTTCTCAAGCTTTTTTGACCACGATTCACAATAGAAAATACAGAAATACATTTTACATGGCAAGCTGGTTCTCACATATGTACACCGATGAGTAACTGAAACAAAAGTTTCAAAAGATAGTCCTGACCTTTGCTATGTGTGACATGGTCTGCTCTAGTTAGAAAATCCTGCTCACTAAACAGATGTCACCACCCACTAACCGGTCCCAAGCTGCAGTTGAGAAAACACTGAGATGAAGGATTGGATTGGAAGGACCCTTCTGAACCTAAGATTCAGTATTTCATTCTTTTAAAGAACAGCTTTCTTTGCAGGAAACATCACAGTGAAGAGCTGCCAGCTGTCCACACCTGAGACTAAGGTAGGGGCCTGAGCATCCTCAGGGCAGAAGCATAGGGACAGCTTCAATCTACGTGCTTCAGAACCAGGTGCCTCTTCCCCTCCTCTTGATCATCTTAAGTCACAGAATGGTGGCACAGTGTAGCATTGTTACCTGCACATATTCCCACCAAAAGTCTGGCCAAAATTATCATCTCAAACGACCTGGCAGTTTTGCTGGATCCCATTAAGACGGCGGGCACGATGGAAAATATGTTGTTAAACAGCAGCGTCCCTTTTCTGCAGAGGACAAATATTAATCAGTCTGGTTTAAGGATTCACTCATTCGTTTAACAAACATGCACCGAGTGTCTACTCGGTTACAGCAGTGGCCTTTGTTGCTGTGTTTAAGCTTTGCTGTTGACCGAAGACCAATACAGATCAAGTGCATGGCCTGGTGTGGAATAGTCTCTGTGGGAGCAAATGGAAATGACCACAGCGGAGAGGGTTGGGGTAGAGGGAAAGGATCACAAATTACAAGACAATAGAGGGTTTTTGCAATCATAAACCAACATGATTTTAGTGTAATCTTGAAACTCAAACTAGGTAAGGATATTAGAAGTATGGGCTTGGGGTCGGCCCCGTGGCTTAGCGGTTAAGTGCATGCGCTCTGCTGCTGGCGGCCCGGGTTTGGATCCCGGGCGCGCACCGACGCACCGCTTCTCCGGCCATGCTGAGGCTGCGTCCCACATACAGCAACTAGAAGGATGTGCAGCTATGACATGCAACTATCTACTGGGGCTTTGGGGGAGGGGGGAAAGAAGTATGGGCTAACCTCACTTATCAATATAGAGGCAAAAATCCTAAATGAAATATCAGCAGATTGAATTCAACAGCATATATGACAAATATTTCAATGTTAAAAACACGATATTAAAGATTATACTGGGGAAAAACAAGGATTGTCAATTGAAGCAGCAAAAGAAGTCAATAACATTTGATACCCACTGTGATTTTTAAAAAAACAACCTTAGAAAAACTATAAAAATAAGGGAATTTATGTAAGCTGACAAAGAATGTCTCGTAAAAACCTGTAACAAACATCAAACGTAATAGAACTTAAAAAGCACTCCCATTTAAGTCAAGACTGGAGGTGAACTTGGGCCCTGGAGAGCCTGACACAGACGAAGGGAAAACTTTTCTGGAGAGGACCCTTCCCAGGAGTCCCCCATCAGGCTCATGAGTGATGGAGCCCCACCACCACAAAACACACTCAACACTCCACCATATGCAAGAGGCTGCACATTCAAACAGCACAGCTTCAGACAACAGGATTAGACAGAGGCTATAAAATGTTTTAAATGCTTAGTGTCACAAAATAAGGAATCAAAATGGTACTAAAGGAAGAACAAGAAACTATATAAAATAAAAACTATCCAAAACAATAGCAAAAAAAAGAGAGACAAATTTAGAAACAAATAAATAGAACTTCTTGAAATGCAAAATATAGTCATTGAAATAAAACACTTGGTAGGTGAATTACAGCTGAGGCGAGAATTAATAAATAGGAAGGTAGACCTGAGGACGTTACATAGAAAGCAACAGACAGACAGAGATAAGAAGATGGGAAATATGACGGAGCAGGCCAAGTGGCGTGGCGGTTAAGTTTGCATGCTCCGCTTTGGTGGCCCGGGGTTCACTGGTTCGGATCCTGGGCATGGACCTATGCACGGCTCATCAAGCCATGCTGTGGCAGCGTCCCACATAGAGCAACTAGAAGGATGTACAACTATGACCTACAACTATCTACTGGGGCTTTGGGGAGGAAAAAAGGAGGAAGATTGGCAACAGATGTTAGCTCAGGTCCAATCTTCCTCAAAAAAGAAGAAGATGGGAAGTATGAGAGATTAAGATGTGGAGGATTATAGTATCATTATTCACAATAGCCAAAAGGTGGAAGCAACCCAAATGCCCATTGATGAATGAATGGATAAACAAACTGTTACGTATTTATACAACAGAATGTTATTCAGCCTTGAAAAGGAAGGAAATTCTGACAAGTGCTACAACATGGATGCACCTTGAGGACATTATGCTAAGTGAAATAACCCAGTCACAAAAGGACAAATCTTATATGATTCCACTCATATGAGGTCCCTAAAGGAGTCAAATTTACAGAGACAGAAAGTCAAATGGTGGGTGCCAGGGGTTGGGTTTGGGGGGAATGAGGAGTTATTGTTTAATGGCGACAGAGTTTCAGTTTTGTAAGATGAAAAGTTCTGGAGATGGTTGGTGGTGATGGCTGCACAACAATGTGGATGTACTTAATGCCAACAGCCTGCACTCTGAAAAAATGGTGAAACCTCAGACAAGGAACCACAGTGAATTCCACGATAAATAAATTAGCCTTTGCTTGCTCATGAAGGGGAAGATTCAACAGTGTAAGGATGTCAGTTTTCCTCAAATTAAATGCTAAATCCAAAGCAATTCCAAGCAGAATCGTTTTTCAGGGATTTTGATAAACTGATTTAAAAATTAACACAGAGCAGTAAAGGAACACGAATAACTAAGATAAATCTGAGAGCAACTGACTTTTCACATGGAAAAAAAATAAAATAGAATTAGCTTTCTCTCACCACTCACTATATATGAAATAAAATTCCAGATCTATTTGGGAAAAACAAAGTTGTTTAAAAATTATAGAAAACTATCCTTATGACTCCAGGTAAGGTAAGCTGCCTTAAGACACGAAAAACAGAAACCATAAATGAGAGTTAAATTTGACCACTTGAACATTTAAAATTTTTGTATAAAAAAGATACTATATGTCTGATTAGAAAAGAAAGCAACAGATTGAGAAGATATCTGCCCAGTATAACAGAGTGCAATGCTCAAAAGTGAAATTTCCTCCCAGCTGTGTAATCTTGGGTACGTTACAGCGTCTCTCTGTGTCTCGTTTTCCTATCTTTGAAAAGGGGATGGGGCTTTTGTAAGGATGAGAGGAATTAATAACCCTAAAAGCACTCAGGATAGATTCTGGCACATAGGAACCCATCAATAAATTGTTAGTCGCTACTGTTATTTAAGGAACACCTACAAATCTTTAAGAAAACCACAAGCAACTGAATAGCATTTATCACATTCTCAAGCAGACGGTTAGACAAGCAACTGGCTCCATCTGCACGCCAGACGGCAAGTCCTTCACTCAAGGAGAAGCGTCCTGCAGATCTCACTGTGACTTGATTGATGTCCTGCCCCCTGAGGGCCTAAGGGAAAATTGTGAGTTCAACACCAACCTTCCAGGAAGACCTCAGGATCTTAGGTCCCAAACCAGAGGTTGTGTGTTTCTATTCTCAGACTCTTTTTGAAAAATACTGGAGAAGGAACCAAAGTCTGGGTTCTGGCCTTGACTCCTGAGCTAGCTAGATCTGTGGCCGAGAACAGGAACTTGACCTCCCCCGCCTTTCTGTGCTCATCTGAGACGGGGCAGGGTTGGAGGAGAGGAGCTTGGAAATGCTGTTTATAACGAGGCTGCTCTCTCCTGTGGAATTTACACGGGGGAGTGGGACATCTTAAGGACATTTTTTGGAATCAAATACAGAATTTCTAATGCTTCTAGAATTAGGGGCAAAGATATAAGCTCTGCCCTTGGCGTTCATGACACTCACAGTGAGAGTCGTTCTGGGACCACACAGTTTCACACTGACATTGATTTCAGCCATTTCAGAGTTTTACATGAATTTAATTTGGGCTAAATTTTGCATATTACTTGATCCCAAGGTAAAAGAACAGAGCAGTTAGTTTGTGTTCCTTTAAGAGGCCGAGTTCAAGGACACTGTGCTATGTTCTCTGTTGGGACTGACACCTTGGCCACATCATCTGGTGTTTGACTCTTCTAAAGGTAAAAAAACAGGAGAGAACTTGTTTTCGGTTTTGGTAAGGAAGCTATCTTCAAAGCAAGAGGGCAGAGACAGTGGGAATGAGTCCTGGTCTCTGAAGCACACTCTGCTCTTTCCATAACCACCCCAGAGCCTGAGCCCCATTACCCCACTTCCAGCCCTCAGGCCTTGCCGAGGTCCCCAAACGCTTGGTCAGCGTCTAGTCTTCTTCTCAAGACCATGTCAGAAAACAGAAATGATCACAACGGTTATTACCTAGTTTTCCAAGAACAATTTCAAGCTTTAGGCCTAGGGATCAAACTCTGAGGGGGTCTATGAGTTTCGGGGAATTGAAAATTCACCTTCCCTTACCTGCCCAATTTATTCACCAAGGGGCCAACCATGAGGGATCCAAGAAAGCCTCCGAAGGGAAACATGGACACAGAAATGGACCACAGCAATGTCAAGGAAAACTCGCTTATGTATTCTCCGGCTCTACTGTAGTAGGTATCGTTATAAAATTCTTTCATGAGCTGGAGAACAAAGCAAAACAGAACATCCAATCACTTGGCCTGGTTTTGCAGAAAGAACCACTTAAGTTGTTGCGCCACCCATTGGGATGACCTGGGCACAGAGATATCAACATTATTAAGGGGAGGAAAGGGAGTAAGGACAAAGGTGTACTAACAGCAATTAGCAGGGGGCACCCATGGGGAGCGCTATGAGGCCTCTGAGAGGCTAATTGCCTGGGATGTTTCTAACACGGGAAAGGACTGACTCTAGTCTTCCAATCCGTTGGATGATCCCTGCCCCTCCAGACTCCTCTATAGATTGCAAACCTGCAGAGGATCAGACCCCCACCACCCGGAGGCCAGCCCACCGTGTGTCCAGCTGGCCAGCTCTCCATGAGAAGCTGAAGGAGGCCTGGGGACTTGGTTCATACCCACAGCCCTGTGCCTGCAAGTCCCCAAGGCCCTGCGCTGTCACTTGGGTGTTTCCCCCTCCCTTCACTTGAGGACCCACTGTGCGCCTTCAGTGTGTGTACGGTCCCACTCTGGCGACCATGCTGGGCACGGGCTGCTCCAAACCCACCTCCTTGTTTACTGGGGGCTGCGTCTCACTCACCACAGCCACCTACCTCAGCGGGGGAGTTGACGGCAGCCACGTTGTACCCATACTGGAAGGATGACCCAAAGGCAGCTATCAGCGTTGCCAGGGCAAGGACAAGTGTCAGCCTCTGTAGGAAGAGAGATCACGGCTTACTTCAGGAAGCAGCCCAGGGTCCGAGGGAACTCCTGATTTACTGCAACATCTTCTAGAAAGACGTAATAGAATCTGCGGATCTGTAGTCTTTCAACCGCTCCCTATCTTGAAACCTACCCGCTACCCACCTTGGGTGAGAAGAGGTTTTCTTAACTGTAGCACTTAGGGCCGGATAACTCTTTTGTTATGGGGGGCTGTCCTGTAGGAACACCCCTCCCCCATCTGTGACAACCTAAATGTCTCCAGGCACTGCTAAAGGTCCCCCCAGTGGGTGGGGAACTGCCCCTGGTTGAGAACCACTGGGTCAGAAGCAAACCGAAGGGTCACCTACTCCAATGCTCCATCTAATGTCCAAATAGCTTCCGTGACACTCCTGCCACGGGGCTGCATGTGCCGACTGTAGCAAATGCGCTCAAGTGCCGTCTTAAACGCAAATGCCCCTAAAAATCAAAGAGGAAAAAATGCAAAAAATTTTAATTATTTAGGGCCACTGATTAATTTCCTTTAGCCCCTGGACTTTTGCTGTAACCGGCAGAAGGTGCAGTGAAAAAATATTTAAATATAGATTTCTGGGGACTCTTAAACACAGACATTCTGTGATAATATCTCCCTTTGACATAGGAGGAACTGAATACTCATTTAAGACAATCTTAAACGACAAGCGGGGATTCATCAGTAAAGTAATGACAAGAGGGAGAAAAATAAAAGTGGAAAGAGCTTTGCTCTTAGAATCTACAGATCTCATTTTGAACTTGCCCACTGCCACTTTCTAGCTTAATTTCTACGATCTTCAGTTTCCTTATCTTTAAAATGAAGACAATAACACTCCCTCAGAGTTATTGCAAGGACTAATTATGAAAGCATCCAGTGTAGAGGGAATCCACGGACCGGGCTGGGCCAGGACACGACTCTGAACCCACCACTGAAGCACTTTCATTCAGGTCCTCTGACGGAGGTCCCCTTTCGCATGGGACACGTGCTCCTCTGATGGCAAGCTGAGGTCCTCATGTCTTCCTCTGGACAGCATCCCTCCTAATCTAAAGAGGACCTCTTGAGAGAGTAAGTGAGGAGCAGGACAGGCAGAGAAACAACGGTCACTCTTGCCTTGTTGTGGTGCCCCCGAGAGGAGAGATGAGTCAGTTACCCTCCGCAGAGAACGAGCAGGACCTGCCAGGAGCCCTGGTAGGAGCAAAACCACTAGCGAAACTTCACCCTTCTCCTCCTCCCTCCACCAAATGAATTAGCAAATGGTTAGTTCAGTAGGAAGTTTCTGGCAAGGAAGATAAGAGCCTCAGACCAGGCAGCCTCTCAAGGAGCAGGGGGCTCTGTTTCCAGTCTCTCCTCAGCCCCCACCATCCTCTGGGGCCAGCGGGGGAAGTGGGTGACAAGACTGGCAGGAGCAGGTGACAGTGTCCAGGAGGGAAGGCAGGGTCCAGGCCTGTTGCTGCACGGCCCTGTATTTTCTAAAGGTGGGAGTGCACAAGTAGGCACCCCACACACCCCACCCGAGATGCAGGGCATGGCAGACTTAGCTCCCCTCCCTCCTGAAGTGCTCTGGGTATGTATTCATTCATTCACTCACTCATTCATTCAAGATATTGAGCACCCACTGTGAGCCAGGCATTGTTCTAAGTGCTGGGCATATAGTGGAGAACAAAACAAAGATTCCTCCCCTACAGCTGTCTATTGCTTGATTTTGTGGAAAGAAGGAAGGAAGGAAAGAATGGAAGGAGGAAGGAAAGAACAGAAAATGATGATAAAAATTTCTCCTCTTTTAATTCTCTTCCCAGTAAACGATTAACTATAAATGCATTTACACTGCCAGGTGTAATTCCTGATCACGCTCTGCTTCGATGGGTCCTAAGGTTTGAAGTCCTTAGCAAAGCTCAGCTGGTGAGCTGGCTGGTGCCCCAGACTGGGGGGCACCCCGCCAGGAACCATGGACAGCCAGCTCCCTGACTGCTTTTATGGGATCTCAGCAAAAATGACCAGAAAGACCCCAGGCTCTAGAGTCGCTAAACATAGAGCACACAATTCAGCTTCTCTTCTTTGGCTTCCTCCGTGAATTCAAGCCACAAGCACATTCTACGGACCCGCAGGAATCAGGGCTTACCCTCTGTGGAAATAGCAAAGACACTCTGGGTAGGTTCTCACTGACCTGGCTGGTCCAAATGCCTTCATTCATTAAATAAATATTTATTGACAGCTCACTATATGTTCTAGGTACCACACTACCATCTGGGGAGCAAAACAGCTGCCCTCAAGAGGATTATGGTTCAATGGGGAAGCAGCCATTTAAAAAACTACATAGGGCCAGCCCAGTGGCATAGTGGTTAAGTTCTCGAGCTCTGCTTCAGTGGCCCAGGGTTCATGGGTTTGGATCCTGGGCAAAGACCTACACACCACTCATCAAGCCACGCTGTGGTGGCATCCCATATACAAAGCAGAGGAAGACTGGTACAGATGTTAGCTCAGGGACCATCTTCCTCAAGCAAAAAGAGGAAGATTGGCAACAGATGTTAGCTCAGGGCCAATCTTCTTCTCCAAAATAAATAAATAAATAAATAATAAAAAACTACATAATTTAGCAATTAAACTATATCTGTAGTATGTTCTATGAAGAAAGACCACAGAAGTGGTTAAAAAGGGGAATTAGGAAAAGTGAGAGAGGATGGGGACTTGGGTAAGGGTAGTGGCTGTGGCAGGGGCAAGAAGTGTCAGCTTTCAGGACCATTTAGAAACTGAAATCTAAGGACTTGGCACACCATCAGGAAAATGCAAATAAAAACCACAACGAGACAGCACTTCTCACCCACGAGGATGGTTAAAATCAACAAGATGGATAATAATAAGTGTTGGCGAGGACATGGAGAAAATTGGATCCCTCTTACAGTCTGGAAGTTCCAAAGTTAAACATGGAGTAACCATATGACCCAGCAATCTCAGTCCTAAGTGTATGCCCAAGAGAAATGAAAACATATGTTCACACAAACGTTCACAGCAGCATTATTCATAATAGCCAAAAAGTGGAAACAACTCAAACACCCATCAACTGATGAATGGATAAACAAAATGTGGACTATTCATATAATGGAATATTATTTGGCCATAAAAAGGAACGAAACATTGATACCAGCTACAATGTGGATGAACCTTGAAAACATTATAAGTGAAAGAAGCCAGTCACAAAAGACCACCATCCATGTGAAATGTCTAGAATAGGCAAATCCATGAAGACAGAAGATAAATTAGTGGTTGCCTAGGGCTGGGGAAGAAGAGGAGGGGATGGGGGGAAATTTGGAGTGACTGCCAGTGGGTATGGGTTTCTTTCAGGGGTGATAAAAATGTTCTAAAATTGATTGTGGTGATGGTTGCACAATTCTGTGAATATACATTGAATTGTATACTTTAAATGGTGAATGGTATAGCGTATGAGTTATATTCTCAATAAAGATACTACAGTCATGCACCACATAATGACGTTTCTGTCGACTACAAACCCCATGTATGACGGTGGTCTCATAGGATTAGTACCATATGGCCTGGGTGTGTAGTGGGCTATACCACCTAGGTTTGTGTAAGTACACTCTAGGATGTTCGCACAATGCTGATGTCACCCAATGACCCAGTTCTCAGAACATATCCCCATTGTTAAGCGACACACGAATGTATATAAAAAAGACATGTAAAAGAAAGCCAGCCTTAAGCTTTCTTTTTTCTTTTCTTTCCTTTTTTTTTCCACTTTCCAGGAGAGGAAAAAAAAAGAGATTTGGTACAGGGCTGAATTAGGGCATGAGGGAGAGGAAGAGGCCAAAGAGGACATAAGGTCTCCAACCCGCCTGTTAAAATGACAAGTGGCCCAGTGGCCTGGAGACATGAATGGGAGGGGGCTCTCCTCAGAGACCAAGGCGAGCCGAGACTCTCCCTTGAGAGAAACTGGGAACCACATCCCTCATGCCCACAGTCAACTGGCTTCCTGTTTTTCATAACGCTGAGGACATTTGAGACTCTAGTAAAAGAACTACCTCAGGGCTGGCTGTCTGACAGTGTGATTCAAGGACGGTGGGAGGGAAGCCCTGCCCACACCATCTCCCTTAGGAATCTGTCTCTACAGCCCACTTCCACCGTCAGAGAGACACTCTCAGCATAAGACCTGTCTTTGTCAGGAATCTCCAGGCAGAATGCAAATATCCCTGGAAAAGTGAGTTCTTACAAATTAGTAACACTTTAAGTCACTTTATCACACTATGGAATGAAAATTTTCACCAGCAGACACTGAAGTTTAAGAGGTGAGGGAGAAAGAGACCAACATCACAACATTTTAGAGCTGGGGTGCCTTGTCCCGTTGCTGTGGGGTTCAGAGCACGACCCCTGCAGCCCGACAGTGTGGGATCGAATCCAGCTCTCCCGCTGCTGGCTGTGCGGCCTTGGGCCAGTCACTGACCTTCTCTGTCTCTGTTCCTTCATCTGTAAAGTGGGGACAACTAGACTACCTTCCTCATAGGATTGAAACTGGTGGACAAGTAGCCATTAATGATTAGGTAGCTAGTAACTGAAGTTTTTTCGGGCAGTTATGAATTGTAGCCTTTAGTTGTTCGCCTGCCCATTGTTAGCTGTGTTGCTTACTTTTCAAGTCATGTAGATAGCATTGATCCGACTCCCACTAGTTTCCTCATAGATAACATCTCTGATGCTTGTGTCACCATAGTAATGGTGCTTAAGTCCTTTCAGGAACTGAGACTCCTTGTCCAGTTCAGGCCGGTTAAGACCACTGACTCATCAACTGGGCAACCTCCTGATGTCAGGGAGCCAAAAACTCCACCCTCAGATGATGCCAACACCACCATATTGTGAACACACGTCCTACGAAAGGCCATGAAGCTCGACTACGCTTGCGCAGATCATCAATTACCTCACTCCTCCTTGCCTCCAATCATCTATTCCCACACTTCAGACCACCCCGCCCCCTCATTCCATAACTATCCCTAATCCCTATTTTTCGGGGAGGTGGGTTTGAGATTTGTTTGTGTGACAGGCAAAACGAACCTGTTTCGATAACAGGATTGACACGAGGAATGAGTGAGTTCATACATGTAAAACGCTTAGAACCACACCTGGCCTGTAGTAAGTGTTACAGGTGGGTTTGCTATTATTATTAATTATTAATAAGGAGGACCCAGAGGGGAAGTTACTTGTTCCACAACACTGAACGAGTTGGTGGTGGAGGCACTCCACAAGAAAATACGTGTTTTTATTTTCCAAAGCACTTTGATATTTTTTTTTCCTAATCTATTTTATTTTTTTCTTTTAGGCCAAGCGTCCTTTTTCCTGGCAGAATGTCCTTGATGCACATCAGACAGATTCTGGTCTTTTCTCTTTACATATGAGGAAAGCAAAAGCCAGCGAGGCCGAAGTCACACAGCCACTATGGGACAGAGAGTCGGGCCCTCCCCACTGCTGGTGCCCTCTCCACTAGCCCACGCAGCCCCTGGCAGCCCAGCCCCAACTCTGTACAGCCTTCGCCAGCCTCTTCACTCCTCCTCGGCTCCTAAATCACCCTTCAGCTTCATTTAATGATTTCCCAGATTTTTATAAGCAGTCACCGCTGGAATAGTTTAGTTTTGAGGCGTCTCAAGGAAGCCCCGTATATGCCCTGGTTTTTGTCCAAAGGGGCAGGTCTGCCCTCAGGTGGCTGGCAGGGGGAAGCTGTCATCCCACCTGGCACTTGGAGAATGGACAGGGCAGGTAGCTATGATTTGTGACCATTTTAATTATTTCCTTTCAAAATGTCTCACTCATTTTCAGGGACCACCATTCGGGGGCATTTCCATTCTTCTGCAGCCACACCTGGGGGGCACAGCTGGACGGTCCATTTCTCTTTGAAGCGGGGGCACAGACCAGACCAGGGCCTCCCCTGACTTCAAAACCCCTAAGTTCTTGTTAAAATAAAGGGGATAACATTTGACTTGTCTAACACTCTCTTAGGTGTTGCGAAAGCCAAACAAGATAATCCACATGAAGGTACTCAGTAATCTCTAAAGCAGAGATTCTCATTGGGATCTAGTGAGTAGAGACCAGGGATGCTGCTAAACATTCTACAACACACAGATCAGCCCCCCAGAGGGAAGAATTATCCAGCTCCAAATTTCAACGGTGCCCTGCTCTGAAGGATGATCAAAAAGTAATAACGTTTATGGGGGACTCACTATGGTCCAAGAAATTTACATGCAATCTCTCATCTAATTGTACCAGCAGCCCCATGGGATGCTATGGTTATTATTCCCACTTCAGAGATGAGAAAACTGAGGCACAGAGCAGTTAAATAACTTGCTCACATTCCCAAAGCTAGAATAGGAAAGAGCAGGAATGAATCCCAGGTATTTCTACTTCCCAAACCCGCTCTTAATCTATAAGCTACAGAGCATGTTCCCAACCTCACTACAGCAAGGGGCTCACATCCATGATGGAATAAATAATAAATCGCACAAATATGTACCTCTCCCCCCATAAATATAAGCAGATACTGTTGTAATGAATAAAATGCAAATTTCTTAAAAGTATTAATAAATTCGTATTATCTTTCTGTCATTATGCATTTTCCTCAATCGAGGGACTCTAAAAGTACAACCACAATTATATGGTGGTGGGAGGTCCAGAAAAATCTTTTGTCTTTAAAAAAAAGAGTCTTATCATCTAAAAGGTAGGGAATCTCTGCTACAAATTTAAATTAAATTCAAATCTCGTAACGTCTTTTCTGAGTCTATCTGCTTTTCATGCTGGCTTAGCTATGTTACTTGCTGAAAAGATTAATTGAAATGCTCTGAAGCCAACACCAAAACAAAACAAAACAAAATCTCACAAACAATGTATAAGGATTTTGTTGCTGGTTTTGCAATCCCTTCACCTCAGGTTCTTACGGGTAAGGAAGTTGAGATAAATTAATCCTTTGAGTCTCTTCAATTCGGTTACACGTACTTTTAAAGGCTGGTCCAGTGGAAGAATTCCCAAAGAATCTCTAAATCTACAAGTCTCTAAATCTCTCCTCTGCCTAGTCCCTGTGCAAGTCCAGCTGCTGGGTGAACTCTGAGGGGCAGGTCCCCCCAGAGGTCCTCCTCAGCACAGAGCTCCCCAGAACATCCCCTAGCAACGCGGAACAGGCCCAGCAGTGGGGCTGCTCCCTGCTCCATCCCTGAACGGTACACTTACCCCTTCCTTCTTAATCGGGTCCTGCTGCGGCATCTTTGCTCTGCAAGTGCAGAGTGCGGCTTACCTCCTCTCAGCCAAAATAACAAATGCACTGAATGGAGAGAGAAGACATTCTGGCTGCACTTTGGTCGTGCCAAGTAACAGCCAATAGTATTTTTATGGCCAGGCTAAGGCAGAATAACCCTTTCAGGAACCCAGAGGTTTGTCTTCCTTTCGCTTCTTTTAAATTAGATGTCTGGGGTTTAGCTCAGCAAGTGGCCTCTCCCCTGGGACTGCAGGCACAGCGCCTTCCTGATTGGGACAGTCTGGGATATTTCCTCACTGCGAACACTACCATTAGTCAGGCTAATGGTGAGTGACTGGAAGGATTATTTCTGTCACCAACACATGGAAAGCAAGAGCTGCCACAGACCGTACAGTGTACCAGGTAATGTGGGGGCAAGAGACAGGGTCACCAGAGGCTTCTCAGAAGCGGTCTCTGCTAGGGGGCCTGCAGCCAAGTCTTTCTACTAGAGAGTCAGCTTTTGCCTAGATACCCATGCAACACTTTCTTGGAAAGTTTCCTTTTTAAGGAACTCAGAGCGGCCTAGAGATGTTATTTTCTGTGTATTCATCACTATTGCAAAGGCAGTAAATACTTCAAAGCCCTTTATCTGCAGGGCAGGGAAAACGAGTCACAGCTGCTGGTCTGAGTCCTCCACTCACCATCAGGCCACTGCCAGCCCCCTGTACTCCACATGTGTTCAGCCACCACGGGCACAGCAGGGCAAGTGGCCAAAATCCAGAGCAAAGTCCCACAGTCCTATGGGCTTTCATCTTCACAGGACATATTCCCTGTTTTATTTGCTGTGGCACAAATCCAGTTAATTTAGTCTTTCCTTCCCCTCATTCATTTTCAAATTAACAGTTACCTGGGAGCCCCCTATGTGTCCGGGACTGTTCCTGGCATCAGCAGCAAACTAGGGAATTGTGCCCAGGCTCCTCTGTGCAGGAGACTGTGAGGAGGGTGACAGTGTAATAGCCCGTGTGTGTGTGTGTGTGTGTGTGTGTGTGTGTGTGTGTGTGTTGGGGGGGGTCCCTATGTCCCCATTCACCAACGAGGACTGACCATTTTCTTTCACTACCTTCACTTACTGTATTTTCCCTTCTGTGTCACAGACCTAATACAATGATTTCCAACTAAGGTTTGGCAAGACCAGAAGTTTCCAATTATTTCAAAGAGTTTTGAAAAATTCTCCAAAGAAAATGCACTTTAGTTGGGGCTGGGGGTTCGGGGGGGAAACAACTGCTGAGGAGTGAAGGGGAGGGTTCAGGTTGTACAAACAAAAAGAAATGTCAAAAGTTTGCAATCATCAGTCATTGTCAGGCGCAGAGGAAATCAAGAGACTTCCTGCCTGGCGGAG